TTGGGCAGACGCCCTTCCCCCTCCCCGAATGAACTTGCAGCAAAAGGCGTTAAACCGGCGATCCGCGGCTCGCGCTTTTGCACACGGCTCTGGATCGATTTATTTCCCGCCCTTTTCTTCTTTATTTGTTCCAATGCTTGGTGTCGTTACGCTCAGTGCTGCCGTTTGAGGTAAAGATTCATTCACGCACGGGTCTCCTGGTCTAAGGATTGTATTTTCATTCCGCTTTCCCAGTGCCTCGCAACCACCTCTGGTCATTTGTCTTAACGTGTGATGTGTCCGAAAGTAACATTTTGTCGAGGCTGAGAACTGGATCCTATGCCTGTGATCTTTATGCATGATTCTAGAAGTTCTTTTTTTTTTTAGAGCATTTCAGTTATAGATGCTATTGCACTATAAAAGAAATGTTTAACAATAAAAATGTTCGATCGCTATTGTAACTTAAATATGCCAATTAATAGCGAAATGCATAAACTTCAAGTTAAAAACAATCCCTGCCAGTAATAATACATGTTACTAATGAGCTTTTTGGCATTTGCATTCATTGTCATTGGAGTGTAACACTTAACTTTATGATGATAGGCTTTTCAAAATGCTGAGAGATTGACAATTGATCTAGAAACCCATGTCCTAGAAATAGTAAAGCAAGAGGAGAGAATTATAGACAAGTAGAAAAGTACATTTGTTTACATATTCCTAAACATATTGGTACAAAAGATTCTGAATTGATTGGGAGTCATTTACAGGTAAATAACTGTAACTTTATTTACAGTTCTGTTATACTTTAAATAAATAAACACTATAAGTTCATCATTATTTCTTGTCAGTTCAGTCAAAGGTAGTTTTATTATTATATGTTGATTTAAATAAGTTTTTGTACTTGCTTCTTCCCCTCGAGATAATGTTTAGACTTTCTGGTCTTACGCATATCCTTTCTCTTTGCTTTACCATAAGTCAGTGTTGCTAAATTTGAAAGCCCTCCTTTTCTGATAGGGCCTTGAATTTCTACCCCTACTTTTCTATTTTATTGGCACCATAATATTCTTCACTAAAATATCCAGAAAAAAAGAGCAATTATATGGAGAATTTTCATATATTCTAATGAAACCTATGCAAAATTAAATCACGAATACTTTATCCAGAAAAGTATTCTAAATAGCTTTAATACCAGCTAAACATTTTATCATTTATTTCTATGTTTATTAATTTATTCCATTTGTATGCTTCTAAATCTGCCAGAGACTCCAATGGTTTACAAAAATAAATCAACGATGAAAACATCCATGGTAAACAACAATTTTATTAACATGAATTATAATAATAAAAATTCATTATAATAAAACACTAGATTAGAAATAAAAATGTTTCATATTAAGAAATTAAAATAACATATTTAGGCAATTCAAAAGCTGTCTAAACTGAGGAAATAGTCATTTATAACTAAATGTATGTATCTCATAGAAAAACAGCTTACTATGATTTTATGTTCTAAGATTCCTATGTATATGTTTAATCCCAGTATGCCATTGCCTCATGAATAATGATTTATTTAATTGAAATTGTCTTTTTTCCTGTTAAATATAAGCCATATATATTTTCTTAATTTTTTTATCCCAACTATTAGAGTAGTAATACTGCTAGCCTACTATGTAGTATTAGCCTACTATGGTATCAAGTAGTAGATTGTATATTGATCTGCAGAGTATGAAAAAGTGCAAAGAGAAGCAACTTGATAAAATCAATATTTGCAATAAAGCATGAAATATTGGTAAATGTTATTCTGAGATTTGAGCCTGGTATCTTTTTAGAGTGAGAAAGAAGAAGAGAAATCTTTTAAATATAAACTATTTGTACCACCAAGACTGAGTAACACCCAGGTGTCTGCAGTCAAACCACAATCAAGTACAAGGGATGAGGGTTTTTTTCAGGTAAATATGAATATATCCTTTTTTTCTAAGTAAATTCAAAAAAATGTTTGTTTATCTTGTAAAAACTGGAATATATTTGAATAGAATTTTTTAATTTAAAAAAATAATAATTTCAACATTTATTAAATATTTAGGGTATGAAAATTTTGGAAATGAAATAAAACATTTCAGATTTTAAAATTGGCATATTCAATTACTAAATGTTTGGTCTTCAAATGAAGATCTATATCAGTTCCCAAAAGTTTTCCTTCATAACCCAAAACTGCTTATCAGAAAGACCCAGCACACTGGATTGGAAAAAGGAAGCTTGGATCCCAAAGATCTCCAACCCAGTATGCCAGTCTTTTTCCCCTCTGACCTAAGTCTTTGTAGCCTTTAGAAACACTGCTTTTGCTAGCTTTCTGGCAATCTTTCTGAAAGCTGGAAAGGCTGGAAAGTCTTTTTACGCTTCTGAAAGATCCTGCTTGCTGATCTTTGTTGATCAATTGAGAGTTGTGTATAAGAGACCAGCAATGTGGAAAAGTAAGTCTGCTATTTCAATGAACTTAAATGCACTTAATATTAGATTGGAGCCCAATCTGTTATTACATTTTCTAAGACTTTAATAGTTCTAAAGTTGCCCTGTGAATGAATAATTAAACTGATTTTTGATTATGAATCATAATTTAATATCATCTTTATACATTATCAAAGCGCTATATCTGTGAATTAATATGTTATAATATATTATTACTATTTTCCAATTTTTTTTTCAGAATTTTAGTAATGGAACAGAAGAATTTTATAACTCATCTTATGGGATGAAAAATATTTCAAATCATATAGAAGTCATTGGTACGTTAAAAGATGGTTTAAAATTGCATTGTTTTATATATGTAATTGATAGCTTTTCTATTGCATTTCTATTTTCTATATTTCATTTTATTTTTCATTTTTGTTATGGTAACCAGAAAAACATGTATCCAGAAAGAAATGTATACTAAAGTATATAGTGTATACTGCAGTACTATATACACATACTATAATATAATTAATATCCTCATTCAGTAGTATTTTACTACACTAATTCATTAGCTACACTATATACATATATTGTTCTTTTATCATGATTCCGAGTGTTTACAAACATAAAATTGATAAAATTCATGAAATAGAATATTTAAAAAATCCACTATATTAAACCTGACAAATATTGACAAATAGAATTCCAAATAAAAATGTTATCCCTACATTAATACTAAAATTCACATTTTATCTTAAATAAGAAATTTGAAGGGTTCAACAGAGAGGATCTGCCTTCAGGTACACATCCCCTAATTTTTAGTGGGACCATGATTTTAAGCATCTCTTCTTTAATAATTATAAAAGACAAACATAATCTATCTGGATAAGAAGTTCCTAAAGTAACCCAAGGCTGAGCCATATAAGACTTTAATATATTTGAAACCAGCATTTTGAATTGGATTTGATAAGCTATTGACAATCAATACAGTGATGGGAATATAGGTCTTACGTTGCAATAGTGTCTCTCCCACGTAAGTGTCTTAAAACACTTGGTAGTGTGTTATACCAACAGTGATTTTCATATGATTTGTAATGTAAATATATGTAGTTAAGGATAAGAGTCACTGTTGCCAGGATTTTCTGGCTCGGAAACCTACACCTACATAGGAGCTGTAGTGGCACAGTGGTTAGAATGCAATATAGCCAGGAGTTTGATATTGACCGGTTCAAGGTTGACTCAGTCTTCCATTCTTCTGAGGCCAGTAAATGAGGAACCAGATTGTTAGAAGCAATATGTTGATATTTGTAAACTGTTCAGCAAGTGCTGTAAAACATTGTGGAGTGGTATTTACCATGTTTTCCCGAAAATACGACAGGGTCTTACATTTTTTTGACCCACAAAATATGGCCTTGGGCTTATTAAAGGGGAGGGCTTATTGTTTTTGGGTTGCCGGGTGGCTGCTCCCTTGCGACTGGCCTCCCGAAGAGCCAGGCACAGCCTCCAGGGTCGAATGGCTGTGTTGCGCTGTCGCAGCAGCAACACAGCAGCCATGAAGTGATCACGCTCGCGAGCAGCCGCTTGGCAACCCCCTTTCCAGCCGGGCACAGAGCTGCTGACCCACCTAGCGGTACCCGGAAGACACCAAACAATGTGAGCGCCTGTTCGCCGCCCTCCACCTCCCGCGGCTCGGCACCTTCAGAATGCCCCTAGGTGAGTGAATGGGGCTCTGCATGGCTGGAGAGGGGGGTTGTGCGAGCAGCTTTTCCGTTCCCCGCTCGCACGACTCGCAGGCTCATGATGCCCTTGGCTAACTCTACAATACCTGCAGAGCTAGGGCATTTCCGCTGCTGGCGCTGCCTGCCGCCTGGGTTTTTTTTTTCCAGCTTTCAAAGCACAGACGGATACTATTAGGAATGTAGTCTTAACAGTTGGGTTAGCAAAATATCCATGATAGTGGTACTGTATCTTTAAGTACTGCTGTAAATGTGATTGGTTGCTGTTACCTCATGCGGCCATAAGATGGAGTCAGAATGACTATTATCTCTCTGTTAGATGCTGATTGTTGGATGATGGTTGTAGATGTGTCGCGTATTGCTCAGCGTGAATTACTGTGAGTTTTGCTACTGTTAGTGACTTTGTGTGCTAAACTGATTATATGATACTGGGCTGTGTTTGATGGATCACTCCTTAACTGAGAACGTTGATGACTGACTGACTTAACTGTGTATGAATTGGACTCTCCATACCTCTATTTTCCACAGAAGTAAAATACTACCTGTTTTACTATTCAGTGTCTCCGTATGCTGGTTTATCCTTTCTTCTACACCACTCTCACTACGCTTCTCTGCACGCACTCGTTCTCCTAACAGGGAGCTTACCTAACACTGGTTATCGCCCCAGATTATACCAGATGTAGCTAAAGGAGAGTTGGTGTTGATACGCAATACCGTATACAGACAGCTGTTTAGTTTGTGATTGTTACTATCGTGGAGAAGATGGCACACGACCCATCAAGAAGTCTATCACTGATAACCCGGTTGGATGGAACAAACTATGTTTCCTGGTCTATGAAGTGCAGCCTACTCCTGCGTAGTGAGGGATTATGGGATGCTGTACAGAATCCACCAGATGTAACTTCTTGGGATCCAGATGATGAGGATGATGCCAAGAAGATAGCAGATTTTCAACGATGCAACGAACGAGCGTTGTGTATAATTGGTCTC